TGAGGAGTGGCATAGCTGTAATAATAGAAAGATGTGAAGATGTTACACAGACTACAGACTGAAGGCAGGACAGCAGTGTCTGGTTCAGAGTGATTAAAATTGAGCTCTTTATAGCCTTCAGTCGTCCAGACTGTAAAAGAGCTGGTTTATGAAGAAGTTTAGCATATTTGTAAGAAACCTGGTAAAAATGAGGGCTGTGAGTGAACAGACTGGTCAATGTCACAGCTCGATCAAAGGGATTTTTAGTTTTTATTCTCTCTCAACAATAAAAACTGTAATGAAACTCAAGATCAGACTAAACCTGATCTGAGGCCAGCAGGTGCAACCAGCTGATGTTCTCAGATCAGATATTAATGTTTATAGTTCAATAAAACTAAAGCAAGTGTAACAGTGTATATTAAACACTGATGTCCATCATTAAACACAAAGACTTTAGAACACTGAGGGATCTTCATGACACTATTTTTCAGAGATCTGATTGGTCAGCAGACTGTGATTGCTTACCTTCTATCTCTAATGTGGAACCACATCTCAGAACTTTGATAGAAAATACAGATTATTGAGCAAAGGAGGCTCTGCCCAGACACAGGAGCTGCAGGAGACAATGTTAGCTCACTGAGACTTCTCCCACTGGGATGTCTGACAGTTTACTGCTGCAGAGTCACAATCAACACAACAGAGTAGTGCTGTGCGTGTGTGTTTGTTTGTGTGTGTGTGTTTGTGTCCAGGTTTCACTTCCACCTTGGTCTGTGCAGCTTTGTAGATAAAAAAATAGAAGAGTTGGTTGGACTCCGGTTCTGTGAATGTGGCAGATGAGTTAAAGTTGCAGTATGTGTGTGTGTTGTTTCTGGATGTTTCTCTGCTTTCACTGTTGAGTCAATCTGACCCAAACAGGATGTTCATGCAGAGACTTAATTTTTCTGCTTTTCCAAACCTTTAATTTGTCCCCATAATTTCCAAAAACAGATATTTGCATATGAATAAACATGTGTCTGGCTGTGCAGGAAACTCTGGTTTATGGTAAAACAAACCATACAAACAATGCGTGCCTCGTGCTCTGAAAACCACACACACTGGAAGCGAAACAGAGCTGAAACATGGAAATGCCTTCACTTAGTGCAAAGTCAGGGGAGAACCAGTGTAGGCGGAGCTAACATGTTTAGTTTTTATTGGCTGTCAGATATGTCAAGTTCTGTGATGATGACAGGAGACATTTGCGCCTGAGCAATAACCAGCCCTGTTGTGAGTTGATGCTCTCAGATGAGTTACATTCATAAACTGACCCAGGATCAGCTGTTTGAGCTGATGTTTGCTGCAGAAACAAACCTGCATTAAACACTGCGAGCGTGTCAGAAACTCAGTGTGCATTGTCAGTGCCCTCATGTGGTGACAGGGTAAACTGCACAGTGTGCTGGTGGCAGCTCACCTGTGAGTCGGTGTGTGTCAAAACAGGCTGAGAACACCTGAGAAAGACCGCCTGCTGAGTCAGTGAGCAGCAGATCAGCTGCAGGTGGTGGAAACAAATTTGATATCAGAAACACAATGCAGGCTGGGTTCAAAGGTCACCCTAATATCAGTCAGTGAAGGCTGCTGCCAAAACACTGCCTCACCAGTGTTACACAGGTGAGGCAGGAAAGGGTTTCCTGTTTCCTGCAGCTGTGGTTTACAAATGTGTGGTGTGTGCACTCGTTCAGTGTTACACAGGTGAGTCAGTGACTCCACCTCATCTGTGCACCAGTTAAAGACAATGATCAGTGAATGGAAACCAGGTATGGAACGCCAGGACTGCCATAATGAATTAATTAAATACACCATTAAATAATTAATTAAATGTGTCAATAATTCATTAAAATTGGAATTAATTAATAAAATAAATAGTTATGACACATGTAATTAATTAATTATTGACACATTTAATTAATTAATTATTGACACATTTAATTAATTATTTATGTATTTCACATTTTAATTAATTATTGACACATTTAATTAATTATTGACACATTTAATTAATTATTTAATGATATATTTATTTATTTCATTTTGGCAGTCCTGGCGCCTGGCTCTCATCATGAAATAATTTTATCTGTCAGCCTCACCCATCAAACTCAGGGGGCGGGGTTAACGCTGATCGAGTCAAAACCATTGCTTTGGCCTGGTGGCCATTGTTTCTAGCACACAACAACCGGCATGTGGAAGCTAACAGAACTGAGCTTTGAAAAACCCTGTTTGTGTGTCACCAAATACCGTTTTAATATTTTTTTAGCCGAGAATGTAGTGGTTTAATCTTCATGTGTCTGGTCGGTTTGTCAAGATACAGCCTCTTTGCAAAAGTGCTTCGATGATTTCGGAGATGTCTGCCCAGTCTCACGGCAAAGCGTGGGATAGACCCGCTCGCCTCGCAAGCAATCCCACCGACAAAGCGCAGGCCCCGGTACACAGCTGTAGTAACCCCCGCTGACTTCTTTTACTGAGGTTATATTTATCGGTGTTTTATTTCCTGATGTTCTTATGTGTCCTACGTGTTTCAGTCGCCAATTCTGAATTATAACTAACATTAAAAACATGTTTAAGGAGGAGAGAGAGCAAATAAATCTGTTTAACATCTGATCTTTGGGTTTTTGTTCAGTAATCAGCGTGACCTGTGTATAAACGCATAAAAGAGATAACGTTGGTGTTTCCGTCATGTAGTAACTGCTGGCTTTAACTGTACAAAGGTTGTTCGACACTATGAAACACATACAGACTTCATGATGTTCGGCTAATATTTTTATTGTGAATATTAATCATGCTGACCTCGCTCTGTACACCACGCAGCGAGGTCAGCATATCCACGATATCCTCAGCTCCATGAGTTAACACAAAGTTTCCCAGCTGACTATCTAACTGCCAACTATTCCAGAGACGTGAAAATATACAGCATAAAGAAAAGTGTAAGAGACTCAGCAGCAGATTAGAATAACAGTTATACATTTAATAAATCACCAAATGAATCCAAGAAACGAGCAAACCTGTTCCGACAATTTGAGTTTGTATTCCCTCAGCTGCAGACTCGCTGCTGTTTAAATGTTTGAAAAGGAAGATTAGATATAAAAAACGTCAAACATAGACTCAGTCTGCCTTCACATTTGATATGAGGCCAGCACGTATAGTGGCCTCAGCAGGCTATTACTGAAATACACGTGCTATATCATAAACTATGATATAAATAGGGAGGTCCTATTAACATGTTTAGTTTTAAAGGACACCTTCCTGCCTTTAGTCTCCTTCATGAGCAGTATTAGTTTTCTTCTAACATCCAGAAGTCTGCACGATGTGTTTCATAGTTTGTAACAAGCCTTTGACAGGTAAACATAACATGACCGAAAAAGCAAAAAAAAAAAAAGAGAGAGAGAGAGAGAGTGTTGACATAAGAAGAGAAAATGCTCTCAATTATGGAGACAGGCAAATGGTTCATTTATGTTTGATGTGTGTTTATTCCTCCCTAAATATCGTCGGTGAAGTTCGCCATGCACGTCAGATTTTCCTGCGCATTTTTATACCTCTGCCAACAGAGAGAGAAAAAAAATCACATTCTAACAGACAGCTGGTGCTTAGAATACAGTTGAATAACTATTAAAAAACAGATGATATTTAGATGATAGTTCAGTCTAACACATGTGCCAGTGAACCATTAAACGTCTGTGAAACTATGCAGTTATGAAACGTAACTTTAACCTCAGCCAAACCGATTTGCTCAGTTGTAAATAAAACAGCGAAGTAAACGTGACCCGACAGACAGAACCTGAGTGAATGAAGTCCAGCGTTTAACCACTGAGAGCTAAAACTCAGCTGAGGTTTCAAAGCTGTGTGCCGGTGATTGGACATCAGCCGCTGATGAAGCTGGTTCGCCTATAAAGTGCTCTGTAAGGAAACAAGCTCCAGCAGCTCTGCGCTCGGGGAAAACACTATATTTACTTATCTTGTGCAGAAAAATGCGCTGACATTGCTTTATATCGAGCACCGGCTGCCCAGTTAAACTGTGACTATCACCAGGTAACGTAGGCGTGTTTCTTGAATTAGCAGCAGGTGTTAAACAGCTGACAGATGAGGAGGAGGATGCATGCAGGTAAACTGAGGGTCTGTTGAGCTGATCGCTGGTTTCGTGAGAAAAATGTCAGCTCGTTCTTTATGTTACAGAAGCACAGAGACACAAGACCAGGCGGAAAGAGACGATCGTTCGGTGAAAATGAGAATCTGCGAATGCAACATGTGGAACACGGAGAGTGGAATATGTAAACAAACCGGTTAACGTAACCCCCTGGGTGCACTCTGCATGCTAACTGTTAGCAGAGCTAGTGAAATCTCTGAAAACATCTGAGCACTTTTGCAAACATGTTCTATGTTGACAACCTGACCAGACATACGGCGCGACATTCGCGGCTAAAACACTGTTAAAAGTGTAGCTGGTGACAGAAAAACGGGGTATTTTAAAACTACACCACCACCATTGCTGCCTGTGATTTGATCTGCATTCTGGGATACCTGGCTGCCCCAAGTCTACACAAGCAATCGATTATCTAGGATCGACCTGTTTTGACTTACTTTGCACGGCAACCAATCAAATGTTAGAGAAGCTGCATGGGCAGCGTTAACCCCGCCCCCTGAGTTTGATGGGTGAGGCTGACAGATAAAATTATTTCATGATGAGAGCCAGGCGCCAGGACTGCCAAAATGAAATAAATAAATATATCATTAAATAATTAATTAAATGTGTCAATAATTAATTAAATGTGTCAATAATTAATTAAAATGTGAAATACATAAATAATTAATTAAATGTGTCAATAATTAATTAAACGTGTCATAACTATTTATTTAATTAATTAATTCCAATTTTAATTAATTATTGCCACATTTAATTAATTATTTAATGGTGTATTTAATTAATTCATTATGGCAGTCCTGGCGTTCCATAACCAGGAAGGAAATCAATTCATAAAAACTTCCCATCTTCCAGCTCGCTCTTTGCCCTCTCCTTGGTGGATGGCGCCCCCTGCTGTTCACCGTGTGTGTCTGTTTGCAGAAGCCACAGGAAGCTGTCCAGCTGGTTCTTTGACGGAAAAGTTATTCAAGTCCGCAGCATCTCCATTGAAGCAGAAAACTCAGGACTAAACATGACTTTCTGACCCCCCTCCCACTTTAAGCTGTAGTGACATTTGTAACAATATCAGCATCGAAACTGAACAATGATTTAAAGACAAGGTAAAACAACAATAACAACAAAAACAGGTGTGTAGGCAGTGACATCACCGAGGCTATTAGTTATCTCCGTTATCTGATTGAAATAAACTGCTCTCTGATATTAATGCCAAGGATCAGCGCTGGCCAGAGTTTAAACACCGGATCAGATACAAATGTTTCCTGTTTTACTCAAACGTCGTGCTGTATAGAAATCATGACACAGCTGCAGGAGTCTGTGTGTATTACTGGACAGGTAGGTGTGGTTTGCTGTCTGGTGTGTAATAACTAACCGCGTGCTTCAATAACGTGAGTAAACAGTTGATAAAGTTTTTTTTCAACTCCAACTCTCCTGCTTGCATGGACGTTATGTATATGCGCATGCGCCGTGGCGCCCGTGTCCGTCAGGGCGGTGATCTCTCTCCTGTTCTGCGTGTCTCTCTCTCTCTCTCTCTCTCTGTGGGAAAAACCCAAGTAGGAGGAGGAGGAGGACTCCTTCCTCTTCTCCGTCTTGTTCTGCTCCGGCGGCGGTGAGCGCTGATTGGAGTAAATGATAAAAAGCTCCCGGTGCGCGGCGGTGAAGGCAGACAGACGCACGCGGATGTGTCTCCGGAAGCGCAGCGGAAGCCGCCCCGCGGACCTCCTTCAAGCCCAGATTGTGAGTATGAGCTGCAGAGGAGGGGGCGGGGGGCGCGCTTTCACTTCAAGCCCCCGTGCGGGCTCCCGTCCGCGGCCACGCTGCTCCGCCGGAAGGTCGGTGATTCCTCCCTCCCCCCCTGCCAACGAGCGGCCAGTGTGCGGGGGTGGGGAGAGAGGAGGACCCGTGTCTCCTTTCCTGCTTCCTCTCTGAGTGACATTGGACCGACAGCTCTGGGGGAGGAGTGAGGAGAGGAAGGCAGCTCTTTAGTCCTCTTTCCTTCACTCCGTGCTTGTTTCCTTCAGCTCTCATGTGTGCCAAAGACCTTTGGAGGCTCAGTGAGGAAGGCCCGGTGCAGACCAGCAGGGACAAACTTTAATGGGTTAGACCGGACTTCTGTTCTCCTGCTGTGACAGATGTTCTGGTGTTGTTAGCCATGTTTTGGCGTTCTGACAGAGGTTCTGTTTTCATGAAAAGACGTTCTAGTGTTCTAGCGGAGGCTACGATGTTCTGACAGATGTCCGGACAGATGTTCTGACAGATGTTCTGACAGACGTTCTGGTGTTCTAGCAAAGGCTAAAATGTTCTGACAGATGTCCGGGCAGATGTTCTGACCGATGTTCTGACAGACATTCTGGTGTTCTAGCGGAGGCTACGATGTTCTGACAGATGTACGGACAGATGTTCTGACAGATATTCTGGTGTTGTTAGCCATGTTTTGGCGTTCTGACAGAGGTTCTGTTTTCATGAAAAGACGTTCTAGTGTTCTAGCGGAGGCTACGATGTTCTGACAGATGTCCGGACAGATGTTCTGACAGATGTTCTGACAGACGTTCTGGTTTCTAGCAAAGGCTAAATGTTCTGACAGATGTCCGGGCAGATGTTCTGACCGATGTTCTGACAGACATTCTGGTGTTCTAGCGGAGGCTACGATGTTCTGACAGATGTACGGACAGATGTTCTGACAGATATTCTGGTGTTGTTAGCCATGTTTTGGTGTTCTGACAGAGGTTCTGCTTTCATGAAAAGACGTTCTGGTGTTCTAGTGGAGGCTACGATGTTCTGACAGATGTCCGGACAGATGTTCTGACCGATGTTCTGACAGACGTTCTGGTCTTCTAGCAAAGGCTAAGATGTTCTGACAGATGTCCGGACAGATGTTCTGACAGATGTTCTGACAGACGTTCTGGTGTTCTAGCGGAGGCTACGATGTTCTGACAGATGTACGGACAGATGTTCTGACAGACGTTCTGGTGTTCTAGCGGAGGCTAAGATGTTCTGACAGATGTCCGGACAGATGTTCTGACAGATGTTCTGACAGATGTTCTGGTCTTCTAGCAACGGCTAAGATCTTCTGACAGATGTCCAGACAAATGTTCTGACAGATGTTCTGACAGACGTTCTGGTGCATTAATAAGAGTTATGTTGTCATGAAAGACATTCTCATGTTCTGAAAGATTTTGACCTTGTAAGAGAGGCTCTGAAGATCTGACGTAGGTTCTGGTGTTCTGACAGACGTTCTCGTTCTCTGATAGAGGTGTTGATGCCACTGATGTTTTAGTGTTCTGACACAGGTTCTGTTATCAGGAAATATGTTCTGGTATTCTGACAGAGGCTCTCATGGATAGATACTTTATTGATCCCACAAGGGAAATGTTTGTGTTACAGGAGCCTGATAAAGAGTCCAGTCTACAATACACAACAAGACACGACACACTTAAAGGTGCCATCTTATACTATAAGATTTAATATATTTACAACAGTGTTAAAAAAGTCCAAATAAAGTTAGTTAAACATGGTAAAAGTAAAACTGACATTTTATAACAGAAGTGCAAACTGCATTCAAAAACTTTTTGTGCACTACCAGTTAGGGCTGCTCAATTAATCGAATTTTAATCACGATTACGATCTGGGCTTTCAACGATCATTAAAAATGACTGAGCCGATTATTAGCCCCTCCCTCATTTATCCGCGACACCTTAAAGGCCGGTCCGTGAAAATATTGTCGGGCATAAATCGGTCCGTGGCGCAAAAAAGGTTGAAGACCGCTGATTAAGAGGACCCGAGGGAAGCTCGGAAAGCTAAGCAGAAGTTATTTGGAGAGGAGAGAGTGACTGCCGTTGGTTGAAAAGAGAGGTAAAAAAAAATTCAGTGGTGTTGCACACTATTTTATATTATTTTTTAAAGTCATTATTCAATACATTGTTATTGTTAACCCTTTAAAGCCGGTCAGAGCAGCACGCTCCGTTTTGTGTAACTATTTTTAAATCCCGCTAAGTAGCGCAATAATTTGTTTTGCATATGAAACCAGAGGAGTTGTACTTACATCTTATGCCATCAGCTTGTCCACGGTCACGGTTTCCTTCCACATACTGTATAGCTTTGCAAAAATTGCATAAAAAGCGCTTGCAGGAACAAAAACATAATATTCCAGAAACATGCTTTGCCGATCCGATCAGCTGTTCGTAACACTTCCCACAGTGAAACAGACGTCAGCGCGAACTATCGCATGTCCGCCATTTCCTGCCCGAAACCGGAAGTGACGTCATTTTCGTGGAAAATGTAGTTTTTTTTACTTGAGGCCTTAAAAGCCTATACTGGTCATGTTTGACTTTTCTGAATAGTTTCTGGGATGCTTAGAACTCAAATTGCACTGCTGGAAATAGTTTATTTTGATGCAGCCGCTGTTTTCTTTGCAAATTTGCATCATAGGATTGTTTTTTCGTTTTTCCTGCAGTATATAAAAATTGCTGTAACTCCAAAATAAAACTATGAAGACACTCAAAATAAATTTCCTGTTGTTGTAAACTTTTTTTTGCAACTTTTTTGTATTTAAAGTTTTGAGGGACAAACCTCTTAAATTTCTCCAAGTAGAAATATATGTTAAAAAAACAAAAACGATTTTCAATTTTTTTGTAGTTTATTGCACTTTTTTGCCATTAATGTAGTTACTATGGACTTAATGCATATATATTATTAAAATATGGGCTATAACAGTTGTATAGCAACTTGAAATGCTCCCACAAATGGCACTACAACATGTAAAAAAATAATATAAGCTCTGGCGGACTTGGTTCTATAGTAGGTCTTAAAGGGTTAAATAAATATCGTCAAATAATCGAGATCTCAATTTCAGTGAAATTAATCGTGATTATCATTTTTGCCATAATCGAGCAGCCCTACTACCAGTCGAACATTTGGACACACCTTCTCATTGAATGGTTCTTCTTTATACAAAAAAGGGTGAAATAACTCAGAACCGTGTTTTAGATTCTTGGTAACATCCAGCCTTTGCTTTGATTCCTGCTTTGCTCACTCTTCTCATTCTCTCCATGAGCTTCATGGGGTCGTCTCCTGAAATGGTTTTCCAACAGTCCTGAAGAAGTTCCCGGAGATGCTGAGCACTTGTTGGCCTTTTGCCTTTACTCTGCGCTCCATCCCAATCCATCTTCACTGGGTTTAGGTCAGGTGACTGTGGAGGCCTCACATCACACTCCTTCTTGGTCAAACAGCCCTCACACAGCCTGGAGGTGTGTTTGGGCTCATTGTGCTGTCCTGGCATGTGTCTGCAGGATGCTGTGGTAGCCATGCTGGTTCAGTTATTATGGTTCTTGCCATAATATGAATTCTAACAGTTGTCAAATAGGGCTGTGTTTGACAACTGTGAACCCTGACAGGCACACCTGTGAGGTGAAACCATGTCAGGTGACGACATCATGTAGCTCACTGAGAGAAGGCCGAGGGTTTGCAATCAGCAAAGCAAAGGATGGCTACTTTCAGAATCTAAAATATAAAACACATTTAGTGTTTTTATCAATCTTTCTTTGCTACATAATTCTATAAAGCTCGATGCATATATTTGATGTTTGTATCTACAATGTGTAAAGTAGTAAAAATACAGAAAAACCATTCAATGAGAAGCTGTGTCCAAACGTTCGACTGGTAGTGTAAATGTAAGAAAAACAGCTGTATGAAGCTGAAGTTTATTTATGTAGCACATTACCAACAGTCCATGCTGCACAAAGTGCAATGTAAAATACCACTAAAATAAGATGTACAACAGTGATGCAGGTAAAACATCGAAGAGAGGAAAAAATAAATAAAACAAGTAAATAAAAACAACAACTAAGGCTGTTAAAACCAAAATGTTTAGGTCAACGTGTGTTAAAAGCCAGACCATAAAAATGTGTCTTTAGTGATGATTTAAAATGTTAGTGTTTGTGCAGGTCTAATATTAAGAGGAAGACTATTGCAGAGTCTGGTTCCTGCCACAGAGAAGCCTCTGTCACCACTACACTTTAGTCCAGGAGTAGTTAAGGTTAGTTCTGGCCTGGACCTTGTAACGTTGGGTTGTGTTGTGTGGTTGAGAAGAGGCGGCAAAACACTTAGCAGGGTAGCCAAAAGAATACACACTCACGCTGGTGTTGGGAATTCCACAGTGTGTTCTTTAATATACCTTCTCTTCATCAACCATATAAAGTAAGTAAGTAAGTAAAACTTTATTTATATAGCACCTTTCAAGATAAAAATCACAAAGTGCTTCACAGAAGCTAAAACCTAAAAATAAAAATCAACTAAAAGCAAGTTTAAAAAGATGGGTTTTTAGCTGTTTTTTAAATATATAAGCCCGGTTGAACGGCTGCAGCTTAACAAACATAGCGCACAGTGTTCGTACAACCCATAACGTTGCAAACAAAGGTGTCTGGAGAGGTAAAACATAAAATCCGTCCCTCCTCATGCACTAGCGTGCAAGTACATGTCCACACAATCACAGAGAGAGAGAGCAGAGACCAGTGGCACACACTGATGACACCATCAACCCTCGACTTGGGTGTCTTAAAGGGACACCACACCATAGTGGCTGTTACAACCTCACGGTCCAACAACAAGAATGCAGAGTTAAGGGAATATCATTAACAACCCTTCAAAGTGCCGTCTCCGTGTTGTGTACTGATTTTCAATTCAATTCAATTCAATTTTATTTATATAGCGCCAAATCACAACATAAGTCACCTCAAGGC